TTTTTACGGCTCGGGTCGACATCTCTATCAGTCTGGATTCCGTTAAGCGCCGAGGCAAGTTCATCTTGAGTGATTCTCTGTGCTGAGCCGGTTTACTGTGGATCCATGTTGCCTTCGCTCTGTTGAGCGTCCAGATTGATGATGTCTACAAAGCCTTCGTTTCCTGGACGCCTAAGATTTCGGCGAAGCGGAGGCGGATCGGTGATGTTTGGCCAGGTTGCTGCTGGAATCTGTTCATCGAGGGGGCGAAACATCGAGTATCTTATCAATATATAGAAATTTAACACAATAAAATTATTTTAATTGTTATTAAATAAAAAGAGTCACGTTTTTTAACTCGTATTAAATCACAATAAAAACACAACAAGACACTTCCAATTAAAGGGCCACATTTTTATTTTGCTGACTCAGACAATTATTTTTATTGAATAGTTTCATGCACATAAGTCAAATATCTAAGAAAACTGTGCTTTAAAATTTTTATAATTAATTTTTACAGCTGTATATTATCGAGTATCTTGTCAATATATAAAAATTTGAGACAGTAAAATTATTTTATTTTTTAGGAGTCACTTTTTTTAACTCTTATTAAATGACAATAAAAACACAACACGACGCTTCTAATTAATGGGCCACATTTGTTTTTTGCTGACTCAGACCAGTATTTTTATTGAATAGATTCATGCACATAAGTCACATATCTAAAAAACTGTGTTTTAAAAAATTTATAATTAATTTTTACAGCTGTATATTATCGAGTATCTTATTAATATATAGAAATTTGAGACAATAAAATTATTTTAATTTTAAGTAAATAAAAAGAGTCACGTTTTTTAACTCGTATTAAATCACAATAAAAATAAAACACGACGTTTTCAATTAAAGGACCACATTTTTTTTGCTGACTCAGACCATTATTTTTATTGAATAGATTCATGCAGATAAGTCACATATCTAAGAAAACAGTGCTTTAATATTTTTATAATTTTTGAAAAGTTTTTACTGCTGTATATTATCGAGTATCTTATCAAAAAATAGAAATTTAAGATAATAAATTATTTTAATTTTTATGAAATAAAAAAAAGTCATGTTTTTTAACTCGTATTAAATCAAAATAAAAACACAACACGACACTTTCAATTAAGGGGCCACATTTTTTATTTTGCTGACTCAAACCACTATTTTTATTGAAAAAACACATAAGTCGTAACAAATTATTCATCATTGGGCTATATCATACTATAAGTTGGTTAAAAATTACTAAAATGCCACAAAATTTATGCTTATATACAATATATACAAGTATCCTAAATGTGTGTTAATTCAACTACGTTACAAAGTTAGTTTACAATGCCACAAGGTCCATAATTACTGAGTTACTCACATTTTATTTCACATGGTCCATGCATTTATTCACACATATGTGATGCATGTATCAATGTATGTCACATCATAGCATTTGTATTTTATGGTCTATCTATCCCTTCTGTCTCTTCCTTTGGAAAGGAGATTATAGTATTCGGAAAGTCTGTTGGTTCGGTCCAGTTTTTCTTAGCCTCAATCTTTCGTTTATAAGCTTTTATGGAAGACACCGTCTCATGGTAATACTGGAATCTACCCATTATCATGTTGATTCTTTGTCTGGGCTCGGGTCTTTCTTCGGCTTCACTTCTCCTGTCCCGTTTCATGTTGTCGCCTCGTCGAGGAGGCTCCATTGTTTCCACCGCGCCATTCTGCTCGGTTCACTCTTTTGGTTCAGTGGGAGCGAGGTCTTTGAGACAGACTGCATTTTGGATTTCTCCAGCTGCCATTTTAGCGGCGAGATTGGCACCAAGGGTTCGACATTGTGTCGTTGAATGCCAATGAGTTTGGTGGTACTCGCAGTACGCTTTCTCGTCGTAGTTACTGGGCTTCCTTATCCAAGTGCTGCTGTGTAGCTCGCCTATTCCGCGGCCAGAGCCTACCTGATAGTTATGGACGCCGCTGATTCTTGGTTTCTCCGTACTCTGCATTGTCACATTGCTCGCGAGATTTCCTTTTCTCGCAGGTCGCGCCAGGATTGAGCTCTGGATCGCTGGTTTTGTTGCTTCATACTTCTCATCCAAGTTCTTCATTTCTTCCTTGTTCACGACTAAGTCTAATGACTGATGCAAGGCATCCTGGATTGTTTGCAGTCTGTTCAGCGCCATCTCCCGTCGAAACTCAGATTTGTACCAGAGAGATTGCTTTAGGGCTTCGAGGGCGGCTTTGCCTCTTAATCTTTCTACTTTTGATATGACAGCTTTAAATCTCGCCATGTAATCCCAAAGCAGTTCATTTGGTCCTTGAGATAACGTCCATAAATCGGCGCCAGAGGTTCCTCGGTCCATGAACATCAAGTACTGTTTAAGGAATAGAACAGATAGCTGTTGGATACTGTTGATTGAATTGCGCTCTTGTCTCGAGAACCATTCCAGCGCGGCTCCTTTGAGGTGTTCCACAAACAGCAAGAAAAAACCGGCATCCCTCTCTTGCTCGGTCAGATTAGCCGCATTCCTTGTGAAGGCACGTCTCATTGCTATGCGGAAGACCGTGATATATGCTTTTGGATCTGTGGTTCCTTCGTAAAAAGGAATTCTGACGTTTCCCGGTTCGGGAATCCTAGCCTCCGTGATCCTAGCCGTAAACTGTGGTCTTTAAGTTTCTTCAAGCATTCGATCAATTTCCGGCGCGGCGCTTATCACGTTGTGCATTTGGGATTATACGGCTTGGATCTCGGCTACTGTCCAAGCCATTGAGGCTCGGAGCTCTTCCATCTCCTGAGCTTGGGCACGGGTCATTCTCCTTAGTGCGCCAAGTCACCTTTGCCCTTCTCTTCTCGGCTCGTCCTCAAACTCCGTTTGCTCGACCCATTGAAGGTTCTCCTCTTCTTTGGTCAGGTTGTTTTTACGGCTCAGGTCGACATCTCTATCAGTCTGGATTCCGTTAAGCGCCGAGACAAATTTGTCTCGAGTGATTCTCTGAGCTGAGCCGGTTTACTGTGGATCCATGTTTCCTTCGCTCTGTTGAGCATCCAGATTGATGATGTCTACAAAGCCTTCGTCTCCTGGACGCCTAAGATTTCGGCAAAGCGGAGGCGGATCGGTGATGTTTGGCCTTGTTGCTGCTGGAATCTGTTCATCGAGGGGGCGAAACATCGGAGGTGCCCTGGGATTCCTCGTGCCATCGCCAGTTGTTTCTATAGGGGTGGAGAAATCGGATCGGAGATTCTGGCTTTCCAAGTCGGGTGTCGCCTTTTGGTTGCCATCGCATCGAGACATTCCGTGATCGTCTCGGTTCTTTTGTTCTGCTCCTCAATCTTCTTCATCAGAGTGGTCAGCATGCTCTTTATCTCTTCCTGAGTTTCAGTGGTTGTCGTCGTGTTTGCTCGGGGATCATCTTTATTCATGTTGTGGTCGTTGTTGTTGTTGTCGTCTCCGGACGCGTCGGTCACCATATTCCTCGGATCTCAAGTTCTTGACGATTTTTAGTAAGAAAATTTTTATTTCCCACAGACGGTGCCAAACTTCCCATAAATAGATCCTCCCTCCGGGTATTTACATGGGTCGAAAGCAAAGGCCCTTATCCATGTAGGTGTCCAAGAATAATGTGTTATAGTTTCGCATAGTAGGTGGATCGAACTTGAAACGTGTTGACGTCCCAAGCCCGTCTTCTTACCACTTGACCACAAAACTTTGGACTTATTATTATATATTTTAATGGAAATTTATGTGTACATTGCTTAAACATTTTTTATAATAATATATAAGAAAAAAAACAACATGAGATGTGCTACTTAAGAGATAAATAGCAATTGAAAATAATTGGTAAAATAGAGAAAAAATGATGGGATACAAATAATTTTAAGAAACATATCTAAGAAAACCGTATTTTAAAATTTCTATAATTTTTAAAAAACTTTTACAGCTATATAATATCGAGTATCTTATCAATATATAAGGTCTGAGACAAGAAAATTATTTTAACTTTTATTAAATTAAAAGAATCACGTTTTTTAATTCGCATTAAATCACGATAAAAAATATTACACGACTCTTCCAATTAAAGGGCCACATTTTTTATTTTGCTGACTCAGACCATTATTTGTATTGAATAGATTAATGCACATAAGTCACATATCTAAAAAAACTGTGTTTTAAAGTTTTTAAAATTTTTTTTACAACTGTATATTATCGAGTATCTTATCAATATATAGAAATTTGACACAATAAAATTATTTTAATTGTTAGTAAATAAAAAGAATCATGTTTTTTTAACTCGTATTAAATCACAATAAAAACACAACACGACGCTTCCAATTAAAGAGCCATATTTTTTTTTGCTGACTCAGACCATTATTTTTATTGAATTGATTCATGCACATAAGTCAAATATCTAAAAAACTGTGCTTTAAAACTTTTATAATTTTTAAAAAATTTTTACAACTGTATATTATCGAGTATCTTATCAATAAATAGAATTTTAAGACAATAAAATTATTTTAATTTTTGCTAAATAAAAAATCACATTTTTTAACTCGTATTAAATCACAATAAAAACACAACACGACACTTTCAATTAAAGGGCCATATTTTTTATTTTGCGGACTTTGACCACTATTTTATTGAATAAATACATAAGTCATAACAAATTATTCATCATTGGGCTATATCATACTATAAATTGGTTAAAAAATTACTTAAATACCACAAAATTTATACTTATATACAATATATACAAGTATTCTAAATGTGTGTTAGTTCAACCACCTTACAAAGTTAGTTTACAATACCAAAAGGTCCATAATTACTGAGTTACTCATATTTTATTTCACATGGTCCATGCATTTATTCACACATATGTGATGTATGTATCAATGTATGTCACATCATAGCATTTGTATTTTATGGTCTCTTATAGCCTTCTGCATTTCACTATATATAAACACCACCAGTCGACCAGCCTTCTCCTCTGATTATTAGCTGAAATAGTTTCTCAAATCACTAAAAATAATTTCGTCTTCATAATTTTCCTCTTCTTCTTCTTCTTCATCACCACCATTACCATTATTTTCAATTTCAATCAAAATTATGGTGTCTGCACAGTTGGACCTTATCCGAAAGATTGTTGGTGTAATAGGTAAAGTAGTCCCGATTATTCACATCTACAATTTTTGTTTTAAACAATTTTCAATAGCCTACCATTTTATTTTAAATAATGTGTTTCTTTTACACCTCATATGATCAAATTTGCAGGAAACATCATCGCTCTATGTCTGTTCTTATCACCAACGTAAGTTTTCACTTTTCACTAGACTTTTTAAATAAAATTTCGATAGCAATGAAACATAAATGAAGGGTTTTGTTTTAGCCAAAAAAAACATACATGAAGCGAGATTCATAAAGCATATATTTATAATTGCATTGTTTCATAATTTCAAGACATGGTTCCTCTTCAAAGTACTGAATTTTTTGGTATCTTTCCTCACTAAAGTTTTTTAGTGACTTTTTTTTTGCGTAACCACAATATTAAAGCTGATAATTTTCTAACATAACAATGTTTATAATATCGTAAAAAAAAATTGTAGAGTTTATTTACTAAATTTCCTTCCAAAAAAAATCTCATTACATTTCAGGTCAACATTTATTCGAATAGTGAAAAAGAAGTCAGTGGAGGAATACTCACCAATACCATATCTAGCGACTCTCATAAATTGTCTGGTTTGGGTTCTCTATGGGCTGCCTATGGTTCACCCTAACAGCACACTGGTCGTTACAATCAACGGCACAGGGATTGTCATCGAGATTGTGTTCCTAACCATCTTTTTCGTTTTCTCTGGCCGCCAAAAACAGCGGTTGGTAATAGCCGGTGTTTTAGCGGTTGAAATGGTGTTCGTGGTAATTCTCGCTGTTTTGGTCTTTACACTCCAACACACTACAAACAAACGTACGATGAGCGTTGGACTCGTTTGTTGCGTTTTCAACGTGATGATGTATGCTTCTCCATTAGCTGTCATGGTATGTTTTTATTCCCTAAATTTATTTTTTTTTCTAAGAATTTAGCATTAGTTTACTTATAAAGTTTAATTATTTTTTTGATTCAATGTTTAATGTTAGGCGCTTTTTTGGACAACTAATGTTGTTAGGATTTTAAAAGTTCAAGTAATTTTTTGTTTGTTTGGTAAAATACTGTAAAGAAAAGGCTGTCTTTTAAAGCTTAGCTTTTAAAGCATAATGTTATTTTATAGAATTTTTATTTTGATTAGTATTTTATAGATATTAGTATTTTATAGACATTTTATTTTGACTATAATTTTTCCTTTTTTTGTTGTGGCTAAATAATTACATGGAAAAATATAAAGAAAATGGTAATACAAACAAAAAGCGTGGAGTTCATGCCGTTTTGGTTGTCGCTAGCTGGGTTTCTAAACGCAGGCGTTTGGACAATATATGCACTCATGCCTTTGGACCCATACATTGCTGTGAGTATTTTTTTTCTCCCTCTATTTCATTAAAATTTCATGATTCACCTGTAAAAGTAGATTTAATATCTATTTAAAAAATGAAATAATATATCTCTACCTAAATAATAATCTATGATAAAATAAAATAGTGTTTCTTTTACTTATAGGGTTTTAAATCTTTAATTGTTTATTTTGTTTATGAGTATTTTTACCATTGCTTGTTAATAATAAACTTTTTTTTTTTCAGATACCAAATGGAATTGGATGTGTATTTGGGCTGGCCCAATTAATACTGTATGCCATTTATTATAAAAACACCCAAAAGATAATGGCAGAAAGACAAAAACAATCAATTGGTGAATTAAGTTTATCCCGTGCAATCGTTCGCATTTGATCTTAGAGAAATCAAAATTTTCAACCATCAGATTATAAGACTTGTTATCGTTATTTTGTTTTTGTATTCTAAGACTTTAATATGCGAATAAGATGAATAATTTCGTTATTTTATTTCAGTTTTCGATAAGAGTAATTTCGATGTCCATTATTTTTGGGGGTTACCTATCTCTTTTCAAAGTATTGGGTGTGATGTTAAAACTTTTGAGATTATGGGTGCTCAAATTCAAAATTGATCAATCGTTCTTCATCGGGTCTATCATATTCGTCGTCACTACGCAGTGAAAATCATCATAAGCGCGAATCTATTTTCTAAATCAAATTTTGAAAAACTACAACAATTCGCGATTCTCTTTCTTCTCGGAGGAAGGAGAGCGAGAATTAAGAAGGAAAAAATGTCGGAGAAGAAGAGATGGGTTGCGATGTATACGAAGCACATGAAGCAGAAGAGAAAGGTCTATCACGATGGCTTTCTGGATTTGCACATCACCAGAAAAAAGGTTTTTCTTCAGTCTATGCTTGATATTTTCTCATGTGATTACTCGATTAATTCCACTTAGATGAGTTAGATTTGGCGGAATATACTGTATAGTTTACTTGGTATCCAATCTCGATTTTTGTTTTTCTGAATTTTGTTCACAGTACACGAAATTGGAGGCATTATGCTTTGATTTTGGTTTCGAAGTATGATTGATTTAGTGAAATATGAGCTCTTAGACTTGGATTTTAGATTCCGGAAGAATTTTTCAATAAGAAATTCTGTAAATGAACTGAGTGATTTGTGCAGATCTGAAGCAATTGTGGATCAGTAACATCGAACACATATTTGATATTCGTATTAGACCTCATTTCACAAAGGATTTCTAAACAGTAGTTTTTGTTTCAGGATCAGCAAAACGTCAATTTTAATAGGTTTCTTATCTGAATATTGTTGCTTGGCCAGCTTAGAAACTTGTTAAATGGGAAAATATATCAATCTCTTTATCTTCATCTGTTTAGTTACAAGCTTCGGGAGCTAACCTTGTGAACTGAAAAACCAGGTGATGCTTTATGACGAGGCCGATAATCTACTTGAAAGCAAGATGTTAAAGGCTGACGAAGTTGTGAGCTCAGGTGAAACACTCACATTTCAAGCATATCTTGTGGATATATGCGAACCAGATGGTGGAAGCAAGCCTTCATCTGATATAAAGGTTCAACCAAGTGATCAAGGGTGTGCACGGAAATCATTTGCAGTGCTCAGGCCAAATTTCAAGAAAAATTCTCTTCATTCTGGTATGTGTTCCTGCTATCCACACTCTTTGGAATTTTCTTAGAAACGTGTTTCCATCTTGAAAAGACTAATCTACTTATTTTCCTTTTGTTTCTTGCAGAAGAGAAGAAACCTAACATTGTGAATAAATTCCCGTCAAATAGTCTCAGCCCTTCTCAGAAAATGATTAGAGGTGAGTTTAGTTGCATTGGTACTATCGGTTAACTTTTAACTATTCTTAGCAAGAACTTCTGATGGCCTTTTGTCTAATTCTCGTGAAGAGTGAAATTTGAGCGGTGCTGGCTGCTGACGTTTTTCTTTTACAATTTCAGTATTCAAAAAGAGAGAATTGCACAAGTATGGGGCACTAAGTCCAGACACTGTAAAGCCAACAACAAAAGGTTTGATGCTTTCTTGTCCTTTCTTTCGAGAACTGAATGTGGAACCTTTTCATAGCTGAACTTTGGCATTTTGCTAAATTCAAAATTGATGCTTTCTCCATCTGTAGCTGAAGTGTATCCATTAAATCTGGCACATTGTAAGGTGGTTAACATTTTCAACTGTTATCGATGATACTGATGGATGATAGTTAATACAGTGAGAATCATGCTATGTATCAGTCCTGAACTCAGTATCAATCGTCTTAGTCATGTTCTTGCTGGATAAAATTGTCGCTTTGTTTTCAAGGGTCTTCTGGAGTTTGTAGACACCTTGTATCTAATAACCTTTAATGGGATGGAAAATAAAATACAAAATATGTGTTTAATAAAGTTCATGTTAGGGATAGAATACTCTCTTCATGTGTTTTGGGGTTGTAATAATAATGAAAATCAAACATTGAGATAGAAACGCAGAACGTACATGTATACCTATTGATTTTGTGCACGATATGACTAACAGCAGTCAGCAAGTATGCAGGTTCACCTCTTGGCTCAGCTAATAATGGAAGCACTAATAAACCCTTCATTAACTCTCCTTGTGATGGTAAGATCTGCGACATCCACTCACTTCATTTTTTTTTGTTTCAGAAGCGTTGCCTCAGCTTAGTTACAGTTATTGCACACTGTCTCTTTCTTAATACAGAGTCCTAAGTAGTCTAAGATATTGAAGTTGTTTTGTACCAAGAAAATTCCTCACTAGAATAGGTTTGAATCGTAGGACTCATGCCTTTCAAGCCACAGTCAACACCAAACACCAGAAATGTTGCAATCATTCTAGTGTTTGAAGTGGCAGTAGGTTAAACTGACATAGAGTCCTCCTAAAATGGTGGTACTGTTTGAATGTGCAGGAAGGTCCGGTACAGATTCAAGGCGAGAGAATGATAAGTTAAGCAAGGATGTTCCTCCACATAAGCCCTTACGTGATGGTGAGTCAAAGTTCATTTGAATGTTTGTGTTTTTTAAAATACCAATGCATGAGAATCATCATGAGAACAGACACGAACTTAGGATCGTTTTTTTTTCCTTGCAGTAAACCAGATACTCTCCATTCTTCAGAGACCGAGTGTTATAGAGACATGTTCTGATAATCATAATCTAGAAACGTCAGTGTCGTCAACAAAAATACATCCAGAATCTGATACCAGCAAAAAACAGAAAATGGAGTCTGTTTCATCCAGTGGTAATTCCGATAACTTAATATAGTAATCAAAATATAAACAGAAATTAACGGCAACAGATTTAAAGTTAAAGTTATTTGAAACTATAAATTTATCACCGAATTCTAAAAGAATCTCATTAATTACAAACATTTATTTGGCTTATCTGAGTTGCAGCAGCATCTAAGAGTTCACTTCCCCAACAGTTTATGGTTCGAGAAACGTCAACGGCCACAACAACTGTTTGTTCAATGACTCATCAGAGCGACCCTCCGAGTTTTGACCTCGGAATTTAAAGCAAACATAAAATGTCACTTTTTACATAAACAGGTAACTTTTTTTTTTTTCATTTTACATAAGTAACCAGAAACAGTGTATTATTATTTGTGGAACTCAACGAAGTACAAGTGAGGTAATCTTCAAAGTTACTTGGGGCAAGAATACAGAACAAATAAACCGCTTAAAACAAACTGAAACTCACAAATTATCTTTGCTGACCATTATTCTTTTTCATTATATGGTCCAAGTTCAATACATCTTAATATTATTAAGATAATGTGAATCTAAGACATTCAAACATTTGATACTTGAACATCTGATCACTGCCAATCACCTACTCGGTTTGATGATCCTCCACATCCTCCACATTCTTGAGCGGAAATACTGTGATCCAAACTTTGGAAGCTCACATCGGTCAACTTTATCATCTCAAATGTCTTGACTTGAAGGATTGCAAGGAGCTCATATCTCTTCCGGTGCTTCCACCAAACCTTCATTGCTTAGATGCACATGGTTGAGACTTGCTGACTACAGTCGCCAACCCACTGGCCTTTCTTAATCTGACCGATCAGATTCATTCTACATTTATTTTCTCTCAATGCAACAATCTTGATAAGGTTTCAAAGAGCTATATCATATCCTACATTGAGAAAAAGAGCCAGTTGTTGTCTAGTGCACTCAACCGCTATAATTTGGTACATCCCTCTCATCTCAAACTTCCTAAAACGTCTCTGCACTTTTTGGAGATTCTTATGGCGATTCTACTCTTTTGCATAGTTCTGTTATGGAATCATATACTGGAGCTTGCTTTCCCGGGTGTGAAGTACCTGAATGGTTCAGGTACCAAGACTATGGACCAAAGATAGATAAAACCTTAACTAGACATCGGACTGAAAACCAGGTTATCGGGGTAGCTCTATGTGCAACTGTCTCATTCCGAGACTACAATGATCAAATCATCGGTTTCTTAGTGAAATGCACCTGCGAGTTCAAGAATGCAGATGGTTCTTTGATGAAGCGTTTATGTTGCACTGTTGGAGGAACTTCAGGACTAGAGATGGAGCCACGAAAGATTGAATCAGATCATGTCTTTGTTAGTTTCTTGCAGATCAAGAAACAGAGCGGAGAGGAAGATGAGACGGCGTGTAGTTATACTAGAGCTTCCCTTGAATTTGAAGTGATAGATGGTTCAGGTAAGTTGGTAGAGTGCGAGATGAAATGCGGTTTCAGTATGGTGTATGAACCGGAGGGAACTGATCATGATAACGTCTATTGGGAAGTGAGCACTGATGAATCTCCAATGGTGGATGATCACAGTGTCCATGATGACGAACAAGAAGTGGATGTAATTTCCATGGATGTACAATCTGATTATGATGTGGGTCAACAAGAAGAGCAAAGACCTTGCATAACTTTAGCAGACATTAGCAATGCCAAACTTGAAACAATCAATGATTCACATCAAAATATGGATGATGAAGCATCTTCAAACGTAGCAGCTAACTCTGGTGCTACTGAAAATGTCAACGGTGAGGATACACTTGCAGAAACTCAAAGTACGCAGGAACCTCATATGGCTCCAGCGACAGCTGAGGGCGACGAAGTCATCACTGGTGAAGTAAACACAACATGCTTTTCATTTTTGCAGAGATTTATTCCTTGTCTTGAGAAGAAAACAACTTGAAAACCAAATCACAAGGACAAACAAGTTCATAGGTTTAATTTTCAGGAAGATCTTTTAGTTTACTAATTCATAACGCTAAATGATTGATTTCACGAAATTCTCTTAATGATTGATGCCACTAATCCCATACAATGAAGCATCTACCATCATTGGAAGCTCGGCATTACATGTTCTAAATCAAATTTGTAAAGTTTTATATATTCTTTCAACAAACAAAAACAAAGCATTCATCGATTGGTTAAAATAAATGTTATATTCAACTCAAAAAAATTAAAGAAGCTAAATTTAGATAAAGCAAGAATAAAGACATGGCAAAGGAACGAGTCTTTAGCATGTCCTACGAGTGCGGTTGACCTTAATAACAAACAAATCTCATCTACAAATTCCAAATTTTCAACAACACAAAAACAAACTTTTTACGGAACCTTTTAAAAAAAGAGGAAACTTCTTGAGAGATATAATTAAATTACTTATAACATATTATATATATATATATATATATATATTTATATTGAGATAGAGAGAAAGAAAGGGAAAATGGCGGGACCAGAACAAGCGGCAAAACAGTCCAGTGAAGTGTTGGGGCAGAGGCGAGCGTTGGGGATGTGTCCGGTGAGAGCGGCGGCGGTTGGATTTGTGGTAATCGGTGGACTTGGCTATATGGTCTTGTACAGCAAGAAGAAGCCAGAAGCTTCAGCTGGTGATGTCGCTAAAGTTATGTCAGGCGTCTCCGGTACTACTGAGAGCACTCGTCCTCGTAATTAGTATGTCGCTAAATCTTTCTTTATATTTGTTATATTTGTTTCTTTTATATACTTTTGAATCGCTTATATAGTGAATCTTAAATATTTTTTATAAGACTGTTATTTTTGAGTTTATTGTTTAATTGTTTTCAATGTCAAATCTTCAAATTGGATTAATTGCTCTTACAAATATATTTGGATAGTTTAAAAGCGTCTCTATACTATCACCGGCTGTACTCTAAAGAATAATGCAATACAAATTTTGTTTTTGTTTTTGTGATATATATACTAGCACTGAGTCTATGTAGCGTTCTACGTACGTTTAATCCTCTACTTACGCATTGGAAACCTAGATAGAAACATAAATTTTCAAGAGCATAGCGTAATAGATCTGTATTTAACCGTTACATAAATTTTCTTGAAAAACATCTTGAAAGAATATTACGTCAAAATTGCTAAACTATAACATAACCAAACAAGTCACAATTGTTAGACCTTATAATAGGTCTAAAAATGGATCGGATGCAATGGAATGCCTATCATCACGATTGCTTTATTTATGCGGTTGTACAACTTGGCAGAATACATGGTAAGTTAATATTTAATCTTGATTTGTATGATTTTCTAAAATAAAATAAGGAAAATCATAAAATAGATTGCTACCGGAATCATCAACTATTGTTTTATATCATCGGATACATATCCTTTTCAATTTTTTGATTATACGATTCTCTTTATCTTTTCTGTTTTTTGTTTTTTGTGATATATTCCAGAACATTTTTCCATTTGAGTACAAAAATATTTAATAGGAACATATATATTATTTAGTGTGGGACAACTAGTATTATTGTTAACAATTTAGACTAATTAATTTTTTTATTGGGGGCAGTTGCCCCCAACTCATTGTACATACCTTTGCCAGTGTGACCAAGCAGAATATTAAAGAGCAGAGAGTAATGTTTTGCATACAAAGAAATAAAGCTATAACATGACAATAAAGAGATTTTATTTATTATTTATGAACTATAAAACATATATATATATATTACAGACACAAACAACAATGAATATATGTTCACGAAAAAGGCATACAAACTAAAAAATACATTTTTCTAAATGATCTATCTCACCCTTTTTATTTATTAATTTATGATACAAACAACTTTTTTTTAAAAAAAATCTCTCTCTCTTTAAAATCTTGACTTTCTTTTCCATGAAAATGACTTGATCTCAAGAAGATCCAAAGTCCTAATGCTAGAATGAACTCTCCAATTGGCAACGGCGCCAAATTGATAGTAGGAATTTTTCAATCCTTGATCAATTCCTCAACTACTCATGTCATTGTAGCACTTGAGGTATCAATCCAAATGGAGAGATTCTAGACACTAAGACTATGAGGATCAATTCTTAATCCAAGTCTAACTAAACAGATGAGTTGGTAACCAAGATTATCTAAAAGCATATAACAGAACAAGCAAGAACAAACAGTAATTAAGAATTAAACAAGCAAGAGAAACTAAACAAACACTCAAATTCAAATAAAAAGAAAGCTAAACCTCTAGATGTGATCATTGATCAGGGTGCTTTAAATGTGAATTCATGATGCTAAGCAAACAATACAACACTTGCAAATCTTTAGTCTAGACTTCCAATTCAGATTAATTCATTCTCATGACAGAAATCCCTTTGTTAATTACCAATTCAAGACTAATTCCCATTAGTGAATAAGCAATTAACAAGCATAAGGTTCCAAGTCTAACATGACCAGACAGCCTCTTTGTGCATCAAAATAAGAGCTAAGAAAGACTGAATCTTATACAGAAAGATAAAGCAAGCATCACATGATCTCAAATTCCAATTAACTTAGAACTCTAATCTAGATTAATCCTCTCATGAAGGCACTAACCTCTACACTAATCCATTTTCAAACAAAATCATCATTTGTGAAATATGAATCAATGAGCATTAAGAAACAGTTCTAATATGCCATTCATGCATTTAACAATCATTCCCATGACATTAATGCATAAACCCTTAGTTAGCTTTCATTCAGGCATTTCATCAAACACTTTTGGTGCATGAAAAACCCAGATTCTAGACCCAAGTGATGTGCAAGGATCTAGCATTAGGATCAGCTAACTAAGGAAAGGAGAAGAGAATCTAAGCTTAAACAATCATTAATCTACATCTAAGCACCCTAATCTACACACCTAGAAGCTTAAAAGATGACTACTCACTAATCATGAAGAACACATCTAATCTTTTGCAAGAGATGATGTTAATCATGATTAGAAGCAGAAATGAGATGATGAGATGATGAGAAACAGACTTAGATTGATTAAATCCTTGAGATCTCTCTTAATCCAAAACGTTTTTACACTAAAAAGGAAAGAAAACTAGAGAGAAACTAAGAGAGAAGATGATCCCCTTGGGTTTTTCTCCAAAAAGCTATATATACTAAGTGCTAATGAACCGGGTCAGCCCAGGACAAACTGGGTACTGACCCGGCTCAGTTGGGTCAAGTGGAAATCCTGCGGGTCAGTTCAGTATGTCCCAGGTCGCACACCTAAGTCGCAGTAGATGAAGACTTGTCTTGTGAAGCCTGAATCGCCTTGTCTTAGCCGCACGCCTAAGTAGGAGTGTTTTGCGAGTGTTGCTGCGGCTTGGTCTCCTTCCTCTCCAACTCGCAGGGCTAAGGCGG